TATATATATATATATATATATATATATATGCCGAGTTGCCAAACGGTTGAGCGGCCAACTAGTCGAATCGCATCACAAAGCAGGAAATGGAGGATAAACGCAAAAAAAAAAAACGAGCGTCGAATCATAAATGAAAACAAATGGAAGGTTGTTGAAGAAAGCTCCGTCAAGGACATGGGAAATCACTCGACTAGTGTACGGGAACCAGTAGAACTGATTGCCAGAACACAGTCCAACGCGAGAATTAAGAAGACACAAAGAAAGATTAACCTCCGACCTGCTGCACATGATTATATATTTATATTACACAAAAGCATAGATCACAGAACTGTTACTTTTGTATGGAGAAACTGAGATACTTTAAAAAATGGGACTAGTTGGAAATTAATTCTCCTCTTCAAAGGCTGATATAACTGCATTCAAAAAGTTTAAGAATTTTAGTACATAGTCATAATTATTATTGTTTCAAGTACTTAATAATAATTCACGCAGAATCAATGAAAAGGGTGTAATCATGCACATAAATTATCACTAATCTTAGAGTAAATGCGGTTCTTTTTGCATTAATGTAATTATCTTCCAACTACAAATGTCATATTTATTGAGCTACAAAAAAAATTTTTAAGTCATTTTTGGATAATATCGTAAATATACTGTTTAATACTGAACATTTCAGGTGCATTAAATGGCAAATTTACCACTGTTAATTTTAAGAACACTTTTGTTTCATGCATACCTTTTGACCTATGAAACTGTTTCTTTAAATATAATTTATAAAAATAATAATTTACAAAAAATTGCGTATAGTAATTAAATCTCTGCGTTATTATTAATTCCTAAAGATAAAGTAGCTATATTCGAAAATTTTGTTGCCAATTTTTTGAAGTTATCCTTCAAAAATTTTCATGCAGTAATTATATCATTGACCGAAGAAACTATCGTTGGTATATTTGCTACGCGTCGCTGAATATTTTAGGGATTTTTCAAATCAGAATTTTTTAATTTCATTGCTGAAAAACAAATTGCCAAAAGATCCAAAAAAATTTCTTGGCATTTTCCATTATTTCCTACTTTTTCATAACTATCTCATAACTTTTCAGAAGATTCTGTGTTTCTAACAAAACCTAAATCGGATCCTTATTATGTTATGGAGGGTCAAGAAGGTCCAGTAATGGAATGCAGCTTTGCTCCAGAATTCCGTAATCGTACCAGATACGAACCAAGCTGGACGGTTGTAGCTAGCGATTTGCCTAGGTTTGTCAACGAATTAATGTGCAAAAGAGATTTTCAATCATTTAAAACTTTATCATTTTAATTCCACCGCTAAATTGCAAATAAAAGGCAACTGAAAAATTAAGAATTTATAAGACCTATTATCATTATCAGCAAATAGTTATTTCATTTTCAATGCAAATTACAATAAATTTGGAAAAAAATATAAATTATTCATCAACAAATACAAAATGTATAAAATGTAAAATATTTTTGCATTAACTTTCCTCTATTTTTTAAGCAAGTTTATTTTTTTAGTTAGAATTTCTTTAAATGCAAAAGTAAAAAGTGGTACTTAAAGAGTTAAATCTAAAAAAATTGGTTTCTCAGAACCATTTTTTAGTCATTAATTTTTAAATTAATTAGGATTTGAAACGGAGACTCTTGCAAATCATACAAGCAGATTTATTTCAAAATTTTTTAAAGATTGATTAGGCAATTTGGAAATTTTTTGTTGATTTTACAAAGTTTGAAATTATTCATGCTTGAAAATGCTGCAAAAATGTTGTGGATTTCTTTCGTGTAATTCACAGCAGTGAACTGGCTCACGTCTAAAAGCGTTTCATTTCAATTTACCGAACTTTTGGAAATTTCTGTTTTATATGTTGAAAGAATTTCTTTTTTATCGGTCGTATTTCATTACATTTACAATGTGAAAATTTGTATTTTTCAAAATGGCATGGCTCATTTTATAATGTAATCATCAGACTAATGGGTCATTTCTTGGACTTTTGAATTAGAAATTGAAGCCATTGCTAATAATGTTGTGCTTTCTTACTGGTCTGAAGTATGCTAATGTTGAAAAGTTTAAAATTCAAAATTAAATCAAAGTAATGAAAATAATTACGAATAATTTCAGACACTTGACGCGTAATGGGGTTTCATTTGCTAGACAGCACTACGAGTTATTGCAAACAAATGGCGCATATAATTTACAAATCCGAAATGTCGTTTTCCTTCGCGATAACGGGCGATTTTATTGTACTGTCTTGGATAAAGAGTCTGGGGCACAGTATACTGTACAAGCAAATATCGTTGTTGTTGGTTTGTTTCATAAATTTTCAAAAATTGTTGTCAATAACGTATCATGAAGATGACAATAAAAATTTTTAGCGACTATTTACCAGTATGTCATTATTTTTAAAAATTTTTTCTACGTTTAAACTAGCAATTAGAAATTAAAGATATTCATTTCTCCTCTCCTGTTAGTTGAAGTTTACTAACAACTAGGTCATGTGATATAACCATCTAGTTCTGAAATTTAAATTATTTTAATCTAGTTATTATTAAAAAGTGAACTGTTATTTTTAATTATTTTAATCTTTCAAATTGTTCTAGTCTAATTCAAATAAGATCAACAACATTGTTCACGAATGTTAAAAATATTTCAAGATTTTTTGAATGAATTTTTCAGAAGAATTCATTTGAAAATATAGAAAAACAAAATAGTAATGAATGAAATTACTGAGAACACAGTGCTCGCTTGTGTGCATTTATCTAAATAGTACTTGACAGTTCATAGCAGAGTTTATGTGAAGGAAATATTCGCAATTAATAATATTTCTGAACGACTGGCGGTTATATTTTATGCATAATGCAAGCATTGAAGGTAGCAGAACGAATGCATGCACTAAAAATCAAATTTGATGATGTGGATTGTTCTATGTAGCTGTCTTGTGCCTTATGAATCTTACATTCCTCGAATTTGCATAGTTTTGGAGGAAGAATATGGACTTGTTGGACTCTTGTCAAACCCTCTATCTTATTACTGATATAAATTTAGAGAAGCGTATAAAAGTTTAAAAAAGTTTTATCTCTGTAGAAGTATCAAAAATTAATAATGATTCTGAAACTAAAAAATTTCGTTATTTTAGTTTTTGATTTTTTATTTTAGTGCTAGTCAATCATGAAATTCTCATGTTTTGGGGTAAGAAGATTTTACTAGATAATAATCTTAATAATTAATGATTGTTTACAATCTTATTCACTGGAACTCATTTTGTTAAAGATTAATCAGACAATTCCGCTGCAAAGTAAATGATTAATGAGATAAAATGATAGTGAAAAAATCTTTTGATTATTAAGATTTTTTATACATCTACTTGCATTAGTACTTATCTGCTTATCTAATATATCACAAATCAATAATTGATATACTTTATTCTTGAATCTGTTTTAAAAAAAAATCTACTTGTGTAATTAAAATTTGTTTTATTGGTTAATGTGCTTTATTTTTATGCCTATTTATTTATCGGTTTATTGACTAGGTGAAGTGAGAATAATTTTTCAGACTGATTATTTTGAGTTGAGTCTTTGTTCAGTGTTATATTATTAATATTATTAACATAATGATAGATAATTAAAAATACTATTTGAATTTATCACATGAATTAACTTGGAATATCAGTTTTTAAGCACTAAGAAAGATGCATTTTGGAGTTGCACAAAATTTTTAGAATTAAATTTCGAACAGGTGAAAAAATTTGATAAAAATGACCGTAAAAAGGCATTTTAATAAAGTGGCTGTACTAAATGATAATTATGAAAGGCAGAATATGAATTCGTACACCTGCAATATTTGTTTGCTAAAAGCGGCTCTTAGTACTTCCAAATTATCCAAATGAACCCTTGCTGATCCACTTTGTCAACAGAAAGCAAACGGATTCTCGAAAAATGTACCTTTTGTTTCGCTTTATTTATTTGCTCTTAAAAGAAGTACAGAATGGATCATTACTGTCAAAATTGGTACTTACTTAACTGTTCACATTGATTGAAATTGATGAGATAAGGAAACAAAAAGCTATTACAAATGTCGTATGAAATGGTTTTGATGAATTTTACTGATAATTATGATGCAAAAAGTAGCTATGATTTATTAATATTATAGAAAATCATTATCAAGAAAATAATAATACTAAGTGCTTAAGTACCATTCTACCGCTGCAACATTTTACAACTATTCTATCTCCGTGAAATATCTAGTTGTTTATCTATCAGTCATATCTGTAATGCAGAAAGGAGGAAAAGAACAAAAAGGGCATTTTACAAACATAAATAGAAATTTATCAAAGATATATATTTATTTTTAATAGCAAATTACTTTATAAATGTATTGCATTTATTTGAATCTTTTGTTGCTAAAGTAAACTTGTAATTAATTTCTCGTTAGAGAAGGTAAAGAATGGGTGCACAAGATTTCGTTGTCATCAGTTTTACTCAGAAATTATGTTCATTTGAGCATATACAATGTAGTCATTTGAAAATTGTAGGAAACAGGTGTGCTGTCCATGGTAATTATCAGGCAGAAAAAATATATTGGAAGGGATTCAGTTTGCAAAAATAATCCCCAATGATTTTCCTGAAAAATTTGTTCCTAAAATAAAGGGTAGGGATTATGCACACTTACAATGTATATCAAAATAACTGATATTAGCTTGAACATAATTAGGTTAATAACCTGAATATTTTGGTGAATTTTTGTGGTGAAAAAAAAATTGGACTGTGTACTAGGAAGCAAATAAATAGAGTATGATAATATTGCAGCAGTGATGTAAGTGATTAATGAACTGCCAGAGAAATTATTCTAGAGTGTTATCTCTTGTAGGATATTTTTATGTTTAATAACAGAAAATAAGATTATTTGCTAAGGAACAGTGTTAATGTTGAGGGACTATTAAACCTGATAAATTTAATGAAATCAAAAAAGGTTGAAAAATACTCTCTAACTGCGCATATGACAAATATGTACTGGTTAAATATAAATACGAATATAAATATATATAGAGATAAATTTTTGTTTGCATCAGTTTCTAATCTGTATTAATTTCTTTATTGCAAAATGAAGAACAAAGGGGATTATCACGTGCAAAGATAATGATAATAATGGTGTTGATATGAATCATATCGCAGTATTACTCATAGGAATGAATCGCAATGTTTTGAATTGATGCATCTGACGTCCTGAGTAACACATACTGATATAAAAGCTCGTGACAATAAAAAAATGTTTTTGTAGCAATATATTATTTTTTCAATTAGATTAGATTATTTATGTTTTTCTGCTTTTAGTTGAACCTCAAAAACCGGTGATTACTCGACAACCATCTAGCCCAGTTCACGAAGGTGAATTGATAACAATTGAATGCCAGACCACAGGTGGTAATCCATCCCCTTCATTTACATGGGTTTTTAACAATCGAACTGTCGTACCTGAAGATTGGTATCAAATAAGGTCATCTGTTTCTCCTGGTCGACCTTCTGTTTCCATCCTTCAGTGAGTTATTCATTTCTTGTTCTATTTTTCAAAACATTCTATTATAGAATTGTTGGACTGTAATTATCTTTGTTCATATGTAGCAGAGAGGAAACAAAATTTAATTGCAGGTGGCGAGTGGATGCGGAGGATAATGAGGCTTATTTGAATTGCCAGATATGGAATGAAGCAATGCCTAAGAACGAACATAAAGATGCAAGTACCACACGTTTAAACGTACGTTACTTCTTATTTTTGCATATTTTTGCATTTTGAAGGAATGTAATTTGAGTCATCTCATGAAATTTATACTTAATTGTAAACATTGGTGTATTTGATTATTAATAACATCTTAAGCAATAGCAATGGCATTAAAACTTATTGTTCATTACAAGAGTCCTTCTGAGTTCATTCAATATAGATTTTTCTTATTATCGTATTCAAATTATGTTGTTCTCGCCCATTTTCCACGCTTGTTATGCTTAGTAAATTGGTCTGCGTTGAATTATAAATAGAGCAATTAATTAATTATACGACTTATACTTGATCACTAGAATAGCCTTTTTCGTGATATTAGTCAACTCTTAAACATTCGTCCTTATAAGAATGATACACATTATGTTGTTCAGAAACTCTGATAAAATAAGAGATGAACAGAGTATAATATCAATCGTAAGCTTTCTGAGAATCTAATTTCTGAAACGATTAATCGTAGTGATTTGATATTACCATGTGTAATCCTCATGCACATGTAATATTGTTAGGTCACTTGCACATTATGTAACATCTCGTTCTCATTCCCTCTTCATAATGCATTGAAATGACTATGTAAGAGTGTATTCATAGTTGGCTGCTGCTTGATAATCATCAACCAGGGGAAGAATGTCAAAAAGCAAAGAAATATCATTTAACATGTTTCAATGAAGCATTGTTAATTATATAGTCTATGAAATTTACTAAAATAATGTAAATTATCACCCTTTAAACTGTAACTAGATTACTTTGAGCTAATCTAACATTTGACTGTACATATTGAATGTGATTTTGAATTTAAGTAATTATTAATTTATTAACTTTGTGACAGAATTCCTCTTTTCCTGCTTCATTTTAATTCTTGGTCTTGATTAATTGAAACAAAGTATTCAAAAAAGCCAATAAATGATCGAGCAATAGATATAATTAAGTGTACTGGTTGATTGTTGTACTTTTTTTGTTGCACAGCTTCAGAAAAAATTAAGGGCTTCTAAAATAAAGCATTCATTTATATTTTTGAATTTTTTTCGAGAAAGCATTTTGTATAGCATTTAACAAAGAGAGTAGAATGTGAAAATCTTCAATAATTTTCATTACAATCATTATTAGGTGCTGTACGGGCCGAGAGTTCATGTTGGTCCACTGCAAGAATATCATGTTGAAGAAGGTGAACGTGTGGAACTCTCATGTACAGCTGATGGTAACCCGACTCCGTCACTTTTCGAATGGTATCACATCGCTACTGGTAAGCTAATTTTATTATTTTGATTGTTTACTTATTGTGAAAAGTAATTTTAAGAACTGAGATTCATTGTATTAACTCAGTTCTTAAATTTACTTGCTATCACAATATGCATGCCTACATATAACATATCATATATCACATGGAAATCCAAAATAATGTTCTCGTCTTTCTGAACTTTTAGGTCAACGTTTTGCGGGAACAAAGTGGCAATTTTTGGCTGATCGAAGACACACTGGAGATTTCCGCTGTACAGCAACAAATTCAATCGAAAGTAATGCAAACATGTTAACGTTAGATGTTCAGTATGGTCCAATTGTGAAAGTTGAAGTAATTATTTTTTAGTGCATTTAAAAATATATACATTCCTAGATTTTATCTTATCTTTGTCAGAAAAATTTAGTGACCTTTTGATGAGATTTATCATCTAACTTTTATTATTCGTTAGATTAAGCTTTATTTTGTTCATGTCTCATATAACTAGGCATACTACGACTCATACATTATATTTTGAGAGGATTCTTCCACTTTATAGGAATTGCTAAACCCTGCAGAAGGCGATACAGTAACATTAGAATGTGCAGTTGACGCAAATCCACCTCCTAATTCTATTGTGTGGACTGCACCCAATGATGTTACATGGAAAGGGCCGATCTTTAAAATTGAATCTGTCCAAAGGTTTCATTTTTATTGCTTTACACGTAATAGGCTCACTTGAAAAATAAATTTTTACAAAATTTCTTAAGAAGAAATTGAAGCAAGTTTATATTCAGAATGCATTCTGGAAATTATACATGTACAGCGACCAATACTCTAACAGTTCCAAAAACAAACTCAGAGTCGATGACACGAATGGGTCAAGCATTTACTATTATTGATGTGAGTATTTTTGTTTTACCTTACAAGCATCGTAAAAGAGGCATTCAGTATTAAGTTTAATTTTGAAATTTAATTACTCAAAAACTTTCCACGTTAACCTAAATCTTCAAAAATTTCAAATATTTCACCTCTGTCTGTTATTTCTCATGTTTCCATTTTTGGATGCTTAAATTTGTTGAGATAGTTTCAGCAGCTTTCTTTAAAAACAGATGTGCTCATCTATAAATTTGCACTTTGATATATTTGCAATATTTTAGGTTTTGCGACGACCTGGTAAAGCAGTAATATCTGCCTCAAGCTCTGTGATTGCAGTTGGAGATAAAACAACATTAACCTGCACAGCACTGGATCCAGGCAGTCCGTTAGCCGAATATCGTTGGTCATTATTTTCCGGAAGTAGTTCGGAGTGGAAAAATCCAAGCTACACTATTGAACGCGCCACTTTAGCTGATAATGGTGAATATCAGTGCACGCCTTTTAACAAGATTGGCGACGGTGTAGAAGATATCTTTACCTTACAGGTTACTAAATTCACTTTACACTTGACCCAATAACACCATCTTCATGAAACCACAAATTTATGCGAATGGTAAAAACAGCAAAAACAAATGTAGTTTGGTATTTCAAGTTAGCATTTATATTTAGTTTGAGCATGTTTTCTTCTTTTATAGTTTAAACTTTTCTCCATTTCTGTTCATACAGTAAATGTAACAGTTTATTTCTTTTTTTTTTAAAACTTTGCACTGTTTGCAATTTATTCTTCTTACATACCGTTACTAATAAAACGGTATGTAAGAATAATTTTCACTTTACAAATACAGCTGCGATTTCGGAAATTGAATGTTGCCTTCAAAATCTTCTAAAGTTCAGTGCCAAGTGCATATTATATAAATTCAGAAACATCGAACAATACGTCGGATTCCTATGTCTGACAAGAAAATGGAAGGTGATTTTGAATGTCTCTAATATGAAAAAGTTATTGATTCAGGTTATCGAACCGTCAAAAATAACGCGCCCTCTGCCAGACAGTCGTGTTTTTAACAGTGGTGAGAAGCTGGTTACTCTAAGTTGCGAAGCGCAAGGATATCCAGCGCCGGAGTTTGAATGGGTGAAAGATGGTCAAGTAATCACTTCTATTGATGGCAGTGCTTCACACTGGTTAATCACCTCGGAACGACTTGCTAATAAGTCAGCTAAATAAACGTTCGATACCACAAATTTCATTGTAGACTTGAATCCTGCAAAAATTTCAAGATGTAGTTGTAATAATCGATGTTTTAGCTGTCCGAAAGATGATTATTGCTCGATCACAAGAGTTTCATTTTTGAATTTTATGCAACCATTAACGTGGACTGATAAGGGTAATTATTCTTGTGTATCTCGTAATGGTTTACAAAAGTTCGCAACCAGTTCAATAGCACTTAGCGTTATCCATGCACCTGTTATACTAAATGAACGGTACTCTAAAGATGCTTTGGCGGCAGCAGATATTGGATCAGTTGTGAGTTTTTATAAATTGTGACTGAAGAAATATTGAGGGTGAATAAAATTGAGTACGGCGTTAGCCAATGATAAATTTTATGTGAATATGAACAACTATTTTAACTTATTATTCAGGCCGTATGATATATGCTTCATATTATTCATATATATTTTGTTTCATGAAGGCGCGAATCGTATGCCGCGTGTCAGCACGTCCTGAACCAAGATTTGTATGGTTTCGGAATGGAAGTGAAATAATACATGATAGCCATTCACGATATTTTATTCGAAACAGCGCAGTAAGTGGTAAAATTGATGAATTTCGATCAGTTTTGGAAATTGCTGATTCAGTGATATATGATCATGGGCCTTACATTTGTCGAAGCAGTAATGATAATGGTCAAAAAGCAGAATTAGTTATTAAACTGCAAGCAAAAAGTTAGTGCAGTTTTCTGAAGAAGTTAAACGACATTTCAAATAATATTATTTAGTATCCGTGCAGAAAAAATCTTTTTGATTAGTTTTTTGTAATTTGAGATATTTTTTTTTTTAAATGGCGAATTAATAAATGTTGTTTTTTTCAATAATATTAGAAATCGAAAATCGTTTCTCGTTAAAACTGTCTAAATGAAATGGACAAATGAGAGATAAAGTGAGATTGAAATTTAAGCTGCTCTACTTCAAAGATTGTACAAAATCACGAATTTTTGTTAATCGTTCTAGGTAAGCCACATCCACCTAGCAATCTTCATGTGGTGTCTTCATTGCCTACTTCACTTCTTGTTGGTTGGCATCCGAGTTTCGATGGTGGCGAAGAACAAAGTTTCCAATTTGAATATCGTAAAGTGAACCCCTTGAAAGGCATTCCTGATTCGACTGAACCTATAACAATTTATATTGATAACCGGAATGCATCTTATCTGACGTTATATGAAGTAAACTCATTGTCTAACTATTTGCAAGCAAAAAATGGAGAAAAATTTTACTTGCAGTTTTTACGTTTAATCTAATGATGCATTTCAAAATTAATTAATAAAGAGATTCTTTTGAACAGTATCTTTCTTATAAAAGTGTTTATTTTGCGTAGTATTTGTTCAAGAATTCCTAAAAATATGGAAAACTTTTGTACATCATAGAAGCAAAACAAATTCTGTCGTGCATAAATTTCATTTCAGGAAGATGACACTGGACTACGGTCAAAGCGAGCTTTTGCATCCGTATCGTTTATGATTTACAACATTACTCATTTGAATCCGTTGAGCACATACTGGTTTCGAGTCCGAGCTAAAAATTTACGAGGTAATAGCGATTGGACTCCTGTGTCAACAGCAACTACTGCAGATATTCAAGAAAATGCAGCAGTACCTCGACCATTAACCCTTTATTACAATGATGCCAAGAAGACAATTGATTTCGAAGTAAAAGCTAATAAGTTTTTGTTGAACTTTTGGGAAAGAAATTTGGTCCCAAAGAAAGTCAACATTTCTTTTCATATTTTTATTTGTTATTAGGAAAAAAAGAAATCTACAGCAGTGATGTGAACAAATCCTTGCAAAGCCATCCATTATTGAATTTGTTTTTCTTACAGTTTAAAAAATTTCACTTCATTTAATTTAAGACTTTTTTGTATCTGTTACAGACCAAACAATTGAATAATGACTTATGTGTTTTGCTACTGATTATGGTTAGTAAAAGTAAACGAAGTGCTGGAAGTCTGAAAGGGACAGCAGAACAAATCGGCAATTGGCGTGTTCTGGACTGTTTTGATCAAACTCCAGTTTACGATGTTCCATCCGTCGATTACTTAAAAGCACGTTTGTGTCACAAACAAAATCTAGCGAATTGTTCAGCTGCTTCGGAAGTCATTAGTAAGTGTTTTTTGTGTTAATTAATTTATTAGTGAGTGTATTTGAGTTGCTTTTCAGTCGGACGCACTACTAGCTCTTCATGTTTATAATTCTCAAAATGAAAGAAACTTTAATCTGTATAATTTTAAGGATTACTTGTCATATCTGTTATTTATTAAGATTCTAAGTTGAGTAATTAATGTGGTGTAATGGTAGTGATGTTGTTCTTGGGTAGCAGGTGGAGGATCGACTTACTTGTCATGAAGTACTGTTTGCAAAACTCACTGTTGCTGCTAATGATGCTGTGATAGGAAGAGACAGAGCTCTAGTTAGAGCTTTGATGTTAAAATATCATTTAACTGAAGCAGCTGTATCTGATTAACTGAACTGATTTGATGTACTTGTTCTTCAGTAGTTCACTGCAGTATCTCCCTCTGCTAACTTTTATAATGTATTGCAGTGTCATCAACTTTATTACCTTTTGGTTGGAAGTATGGATTACCATTTGTTGCTGTGATTGTATTCCTTCTGCTAATACTTTGCTTCGTAGCTATCTGTTGGCAGATACAGCGAACATTCGACCCAAAAAATAAGAAGGGGCAAAGTTTTGCTAGCATTGAAAAGTATGTTTAAATATCAGCTTGCGTTTGCATTAGTCATACATAATTAATTTTAACTATTTTTGAATTTGGAATTTTCAACTTATTTATAGTTTACGTTTTTCTTATTTGTTCATTTTCTATTTTTAAATTTCAAATTAGAATATTTGGTTGTGTAAAAATTATTGTAGAAAAAATGATGTAAACATGCCCTTGTCTCAATCGGATACCAAAAATACATTTATTCATGGATCTCAAGCAGACAGTGGAGTTTTCACTCTTGGGTCGACCCCTAATACTAATCAAGCCAGTGGGCAACTTATTCAAAATGCACATGCATTTTCGACGTATTTTTTTATTTCATATTTTTGGCCTCTCATATTTCATACTGGAAAGTTACATAATTTGTTGCATTTAATATTAACAGACTTTTTATTATAGAATAACTGACGCAGTTACTGACCACTGGAATCCGAATACAGAATCATTTGCTTACAGTAATGATCCATATATTCACGAATTAGGTGCGCAGTATCAAATATCACCTTCATCACATGAAAACAGATATGATGGTTTTATCAACAGGTTAATTTTGTTATCTTTAAAAATGGAAATTCTCGTTTTTTTCAAATTGCTTTTTAATAAATTTTTTAAAAAATTTTTCATAATAATCTTAGATAAATATTGAGGAAATTTATGCTAAACAATTTTACAGCTAATGACTATAACTGAAATAATTGTCAAGATAAATTTTCAGTATAGAAAAACATTAAAAGGTATTTTAGGTATGCATCAAGTAACCAGCAACTGCACGAAAATAGAACTGATATGGATAATCCTTCAGCGGTTATACATGACGATCATGATAGTGATGAGACATCGTATACAATGAATGGTACGAGAAGAATTATGAGAGAGATCATTGTTTAGTGAGTATGAATTTAATTCATTTTTATTTAATTTTTATAGTAAAATATTTTTTTTGTTCGAGCTAATTAAACATACTTCTATGTACTATTAATTCTGCAACTAAAATCTTTTAATATTTTTGACGTAAAGTTTTTCAGGTAATTCATTTCGAGTCAATATACGTAGATGTTTTCTTTGCGAGCATTTCTCATATCAATTCACCTATAATTATTTCATGATGCCTGTATATATATAAACATTTCACTTCATTTCGTTCTGCGGGTATTTAACTGCCTGTATTCCATATCCATTACTATGTGCAAACATGAATTAGCGGGAAAGAACAGAATTAGAAATCTGTCGCATTTAAATTTCTAACCATCACAAAATCAAAAGATTTAGATACATCGTGAAAGATCTAGATTTTTTTTGCATTATGTTTTTGTTAGTGCAAAAATCATTGAAATGAGAGAAGAGTTTTTGTTTCGTATAAATTTTGGATTCAATTATTACTGGAAAAATGAGAATTTAGTAGTATTCTGGTTTTTCTTTCGTTTTGAATCATTTGTGTATAGCATTTTTTTTTTGATTCAGTCATAATTAGTAATATGTCAAATTAATTTGCTCATTGTTGCTGAAAAATTGGCATTGGAATAATTTATTTTTATGTTAAATTATCACACTTTCTAAATTCTTGTACTAAAAAAGTTATTAATTTCATTTACTCATTACTCACGCTTAAATTATTTCACTATTGTATTGCAATGTTTAAAAATTGTGAATTTGAAAATAAGGTATTCACACCAACACATACTGTTTTTATGTGTTATGTATTTGATAAATTATTTGACGTAATAAATGTTGCAGTAATTTCCTAATTATTACATTAATTGTGTCGTTATTAATTACTGCTTAAATTATAGCTCATAGTCTCAATATATATAATTTCCGGTGTGCAATATATCTTTTGTTATTCTTTATAACTTGCTTTTCATTGTTTTTAAAGTGCTTAGATCTCTTTTTTATTGACATTACAATTGTTCATAATATCAATTATGATAGTTGTATTTGTACTTTTATTCTACTCAATGGGAAGTAGAAAAAAATGTTTACTTTCATTTTGTCTTTTAAGTTCAGACTAAAGAAAGAAGAGTTTCCTTTAACTCTACAAGGAAAGTTGTTCTCCGTCGTAATATCTGTAACAGCTGATTGAATTTGTTGCCTATTTTGTTTTGAATTGTGCGTATTAAAAGTTTCTCCTACGTGTTAAATACGTATTTTCTTTGTCTAATTTTTGCTAAAATGTATGCATTTCAGTTTATCAAAGCGAAAAATAAATGATAGTTTACTTGCTAAACATAGTGACTGCATGATTTAATGAAGTAACAAATAACTAATTTATGAGAGAGCAATACTATTTCATTTATTAGTTATTTGTTTTGCGTGGAAATTAACTTTAAAAAAGTTATTAGTTTCAATCATATTAAATATGTGTTATTTGGCAGAAACATATATATACATAAATGATAAACACATCTATGCATAAATGATTTAGAAGCAAAAATTGCTGGTGATTTGTTAATTTTGTAATTTTAAGATTTTGCCTTTCGTGTATAAGAACATCAGAAGCTAAAATGTTTGCTTAATGATCTGTGTGATATTAGCAAGCTCGTGATCCTTGTAAATGTAGAATTTTATCGAAAATTTTAAAATTGTTGCTTCGCACAAGCAATATCAATTTATTAAAGGCCAAAAAAATGAAAATAAATAATTGTAATGGTTGGTAGCAGCTAACTAGTTTGCTGCGTTGTCTAAAAAATGGTCTATTTTATTTCTCATCTAACGTTTTTACTTTTGTCTTTATTAAATCATCCTATTTTTCATTTTTGAGAGATGAGAAATAAAAATTATGACTATCAACGCTTATTATTTACACTAAGAGCAGCCGTGCATAATTGCAGTATAAGTAGTTCGTTCAATCATACTTATAGCACTGATATTAATCATCTCAGATAATCCACTGATAAATTTCCGTTTGTTTGGCCACGATAAATACTTTTCAAGAGTGAATTCCGTTATAATTAGTTAACTCTCTTATCAACGTTCGAACTTTTTTCCATCTTTCCACTACATTCTTTGCATAGTATGTTGGAAGTGGCACAACTTTAATTATCAAGTAAGCTTGCCATTTCACTGCTGATAAGGTGCAAATTATTGAAATTTAAAAAGAAAAAAAGTATATATATATATACATGTAAACATAGATTTCGCTCTGTTTCTTTTATATTTATTCATAATGTATTACTATTTCTGTATGTTTTCGCTCTAAATAGATTCTGTTTATCGCAGTTATATCTATTATTGATCATTTTTTGGCATTTAACAAAAGCCATACAAAAAAGAGGAATAGATTACTATTTGTTAACAAACTTTACCGAGTGCGGTAACACTTTTTTCTCAGAGATGAAGAAAAAAACCACTCTTGGTAAAGTTTTAAGTTTTAAGTTTTCATGGTTTGCTAAATACCAAAAGAAAATACTGAGTTTGCTAAACGTGCTTGTTTTGTAATTACGACTTGCTCTCTCATTTTCCATCAGAGTAAAATGGCATATTATAAAATGCTAATTAGAATCATATGCAGAAAGATTGCAAAATTCTTGATTAAACGCCATAATTACTGGGTTCTTGTTACTTTGTCGCTTCATTAAGTCATTATTACTTATATTGCAATTAAATTTGAAATTTTTTATTTCATGAATCTAAACATCTTTTTGAAATCCATATATGTATGGCTGTTGAGTTAAAGTTTTTTTGCTTACATTTATCATTTTTTTTCTCACGGACTTTAACACTACGGACTTTTGACTCTAATCATTTAAATATAAATTTGTCAACAGCCTTAAGAAAATATCTTTCATGCTGATGTATTTCCTTTACTCAGCAACAAAAATTGCATGTAGGCAATGAAGAAATTGAAATATTGTACATAATATAAAATGTGAGATATAAAAGTTTCATAAAGTTCTCAACAACAACAAAGATTCAAAATTATTTTGTTAGATCATTGGTAAATTCACGAAAATGTTTAGGAAGATTTTACGTTTATATTTTTACGTAATTTGTCGAACAAAAAAAACGATCTCTAGTCATATTCAAATAGACAACTGGATGCTTGAAGTTTGATACTTTAACGATTAATTTTCTTATAATAAAAACCAAAGAAGCACCAAAGTAAAAAACTAATGAAATCAATAACACAAGAAAGACGTGTTTTAATTTTCAAGCCACGTTGTGCGTTTTTTAACTGGCACAAAAAGCAGTATGAGCAAATTATAGCTCATTCCAATTCTTCTGTCTATTTAATTGTTTTAGTTGACTTGGTAGATAGTATTTAATACCATAGTCTTCTCCCATATGATCCATACATTGTCTTTTTGTGCACGCTCACTCATTACAGATTATTTGCATAATAATGCCAACATCATTCTATCTAAAGTTCTTATAATCTAATTGCAGCTTAGATTACTTAAAGCTAAAAAAATTATGCCTTATAACCTCATACTGATGAAGAAAAGTAAGCAATTTTCTGAAATTTTCTGAAAATAAACTAGTTATATAGTAGGTAAATACACATTAAACCTTTATGTCAGATTAAATCTAAACTAAATCAGCTTCATCCAGCTCATTCATACATAATTGAATCTTGAATTCTCTAGATTACACAAATTAATTTCATTTTTCATTTAATCTCAATCTAACTATAAAAATCAACACATATGTGGACATTGATAACATGTTCCAAATATTTTCTAAAATTATTTTCTAAATTTTGTCCAAGAGAAAAAATAATTGAAGGTGAAAGAGAATTAGTGGCACGCTGTAGGAACTCAGTAACAATTAAACCTTTAGCTATGCAGAATTAAGTTTGAATGAAGTCAACATATGCACAATATCTATTTGATGCAACACAAAAAGAAAGGAAGACAAGTAAGTGATAATAATCAAGATAAATGATAGTCTTATTTTCATTTCAAGAGTTTATAAAAGTGAGTAAAACTCCCCTGAAGATTAATTATATCTGTAACCAAAACGTTCAAATTTAACGGCTAAGAACATATGCATACTTCAGCTTATTCATATTTGACATATTTGAGACTTACATTACCATCACAATTTCTGACACATTTTTCCAGCATTAATAGTATGCTCTTGATCTTATATCAGCAGTATTGCAAAAAAAGCTTGCAACATTTGTTTTATTAATTAACAGATAATATGAATCTCTGTTACCAAGCAGTATATTTTTTCAATTCATCATTCATGCTGCGCATCCTTTCAAACCTTCCGGATTCAAAGCCATTTTTGAACTCTTGGTACTAAGTTTAGATATCTACCTATAATATTGCTTGCAGTTATACTGAGGTACACCTGTCTAGTACTAGATGTGGTCGAAGTCCGATTCTTCATTTTTCTAAATGAACCAATTTTTATGAGCTTGTATTACACAAAGCTACCTTTTACTCTTGCATATTATTATAAGAAGTTATGATAAATATATCATTAACTTGAAAAATAAAACGGTAATAGTGTGTCTTCAGTTCATCAATCTTATGCATAAGGTAACAAATACCGTATGCTCTGTCTCAAATTTAATCGTTTCCACTTACCAATAGAGAAAAGGTTTTTAATCTAAATTTCATTGGTTAAATTAATATGGCCTAATCTTTTAGCAATATTTGCCGATTTTACAGGAAAAAAACAACAACTCTTCCTGTTAATCATTAACCAAAAATGCGGAATCAATTGATTTTTTATAATTAAAAAGTGAGCTAAGTTCGTATAAGGATATTGTAAAGTTTATAATATCTCATATGTATCCTTTAATCTTTCCAACAATACTTTCCCTAAAATAAATAACCTTTTGTTATTATGACTTTTCTAGTGTTTAACCAAGCACGTTGTTCTTTTGCATAATATCTTACATATTTATAAAAAAGCAGTTTCTTAGAAGCTATTTTTACTTTATGAATTTTTGTACTGTAGCTGAAATCTTCACTTCTATTGGCAATTTTTGTAAAAAATAAAAAAAGTCAAGTTATAATTAAAATATTCTTAAAGCAAATATTGTCAGTACAAAAAAAATAATTATTTATTTAAATTGGAGTAATTTTTTAAACTGGAGTTATCATTAATCATTATTTTCATGACAATATAGAAAAAAAGCAAAAAAAAAGGAAAAAAGTAATTGAGAGTGAAAAGGTAAATAAGATCAAAAATAAAATTGATTTTAAGTATATAATTAGACTATTTACAGATTTAACACATTTTTTGATCTATGAAACATTTCAATTATTAAATAGTCATTTATTATCATTAATAAAGTAAAATGATTAACTTAATTATTAATAAGTTAGTTGTTTGCAGACACGGTGTGTTGCTATGGGATACGTAGGTATAGGTGCAGTGCGTGCCTGTTCAAACATATGTGTGTACCTTTTACTTTTAACACAACTCACTTAACATCCAGCTTTGTAAGCAGTTCATTGCTGTGATTTCTTCACTTTTACTTATTCTTATTCTGACTGATACCTATGATAAATTGGTTTATTCGTAGCTATAACATTGTCATTACGTTATCATTACTGTTATTATAATTTACAGCTGCTATTGAATTTATTAGAAAGGTGGTAATTTATAGTTTTTTAGATTAGCATTCAATGCTAAGTAATCATTTTAATTTCAGTCTGAAAAAATAGAACAATCGCAAAAGGTGCCATTGATAATTTCAAAAGTGGTGAACTTTTGAAGCCTTACTTCTTACATTTCATACTTTTTGACTAATGGTTATGCTTTTCTAACAAGTTTATCTATTTACTTTTCTTTCTTCTATACATCATTTTTATTAGTTCCAAATGTTAATTATCAATTGAAGAAAAGCTATTCTAAAAGTGTTCATTGCTTAATTTTAATTTTTCTACTTCATCATTTCTAAATTTCATGCCATTCTTAACTGACTTTATAAGTTTTAATACTTGAAATTCACAGCTTCATTAAGCATATTTTCAACGATGTCATGAGGAAATTTCCAATTCATTAATAAGAAATGATTTTTTGCAATGAAAGAACTGCTAATTATAAAATCAAGATAACTCCTTTGCATTCAACTTGAATCATGCACATTCCATCAAACTAATATCAAATATGAAACTTAGGAATGCTGTTTTGTTGATTTATATTGTATTTAGACTGCTAATTTTGGATTTCGAGACATTATTTTCATTTTACTGATGATAAAAATGAAAAATTATATGTGACTGGAAGAATATAGTTTTGACATATTTTGTATGTAAAATATACTTTTATTTGGTCATTTTTTCTTGACCACAGGGCTGTATGGCAGAATCATCTATCGAAAGATATAAAGTGCCAGATGGATTACGACCATTACTTGAAGCATTAGCTCGAGAAATACTTAGAGCTCAACCAACTGATTTAGTCAATTTTTCATTGCTTTTTTTCAATATGATGCAACAACACTGCTTACGTATGTAACTACTTTTTTAAAATTATTTTTAAAGATTTATGCAAACATTTGGTCGGACATTTGCTTTGTTTGTATGGGGCGAAATTGAGAAATTAAAAAAGTCTTCAATTTTAAACGATCTTTTTTTGAAACGTAAGCAAATGAGCTTTTCTGTCTCGTAGCTCAATTAGAATTTCAAATTTTTCGCAACTCATTTTCATAGATAGTACACATAGAATCGGCAACCACGCATTTACATTTAATAAAATGAATTAACAAGCAGCTTAAACAAAACAATTCATACTATACGCCTTAAAAAATACTGTAGATTGAAATGAGTAACTTGGTAAAATCATTTTAATCATATTTATCTAAGACAAATCAGTAAATCAAAAATCTGTTTACTCACTGTCACATGTAAATATTCACTATGATTTCAATTTAGACTGAGCTGATAGTTTTCAGGTAATAACATAGAAGACATACTAAAACAACCTGAGCTATATGATTCTTTCCAGAATGATTTGCAGAAACAGGTTGATTTGTAATTCTGAGCATTCATGTTCAAAGTTAAAATCTTTTTATAATTTTATTTTTTGAAAAACAAAAAATGCTCAAATGTGAAAGATCTTTTTGAACAGTAAGGTAGAAAAATTACCTAAAATGGAACATTGCAGTACCATAAAAAGAAGAACGAGCTGGCTGCACAATCATCATCAAGTTCATTAAATGAAGCAGCAACAAAGATACAAGCAGCATTTCGTGGTCATATTGTAAGTGAATATGATTGGTTAATTTTTTTCAGCGCATTTCTTAACAATTT